TAAACTTGGGATGGGCTGAGAGCCAGCCCAGGCTTTGGTCAGGAGATGCATTTCCTCTGTCACAATGGGCTCCAAACAGACAGCTGCTACATCTGAAAGACCCAGATCCTGTGCACCTGCTGGAGGGGAGAGATTGCCTCCTCTGTGGGGTTTTGTGGTAGAAGCATGAGAGGAGAGGAAAACAAAACAAAACTGAAGGAGAATAACCGGATTTCAGTAGCTGGCTGGGGAACAGGAATTTCAGAGGGGAGGAGGAGTTGAGTGCATTTAAACCGAAAGCAGGCCTTTTCGTGCTGGTTCCCCTGTGACTCACAAGGAACTGGTGTGACTTCCCTAGTCCTGTGAAGATTTCTCAGGCAAATCATCTGGCATTTATCAAACTTGAAATTCTTCTGGTAATTTAGTTTCTTCTTTTACTTGCTTCATAAGAGCCTTGGAAAATGCTTATTACTTAAGACTTCCTTCCATGATTAATAATGGCATGTGAATGTTTACAGTTTTGCTGGATGTCAACTTAAGCAGGAAGAGCTGCCTAAGTGGGAGCCATTTTTTGCTGCGGGTACTAACCCTTGGAAATGTTGTTCTTGCGATTACTTTTTCCTCTTGTGTGGAGAAAACCCCATGATGTGCATATTGTGAGTTGGGCTTTTTTTTTTGTGGCACAGAAATAGCGTACTGTGTTGTCTTTCAAGCCAGCTTAAATCAGGCTGTGTGACACTGCAATCGCTCTGAGAAACTTCCTGCTAAAAATAAGTTGAGATCCTTTCGCTTCAGCAGTCGGTTTTGATTTTGGAGATTCCTGGCAGATTCCTGAGGGAAAGGCGCTAGCGGGTTTGGTGATGTTGATGGAACACGAGATTCCAGAGCCTTACAGCACAGTTTTGTCTCCTAATGGTGGTTTCTTGTTTGTCAAAGTGTATGTTCATCTACTGCCTTGACGTTTGTACCTCAAGGCACCTAGAGCACCTGCAGCTTCCTAGAGAATGCTCTCATTTTGTTACTGTAAGTTGTATTTTGTTATTGTACTGTTAAATCCCCTTTTTTAACTGTAAAGATGGATTGAATTGCCTTACAGACTCTTGGTTCTTTTATTCCATGTGATATGCATTTTATCGGTCATCTTTGTTCCTCCTTAGTATCTCTTGTCCTGCTAGGATCAGGATGATGCCATTCCGTGTGTCTGACCTGGTATGGCCGGACGGAGGGATTGCAGGGAGCCTGTTGCTCAGGTGGCCTTCTTACCAGCCTGCTCCTCATAGTGAGGAGATAGCCATTGCTTTGGCTGTGCCACTGTAATCATGGCTGTGATCTTGCTTGAGTTACTGCTCTTTAAAAGACCAGTGTCTATTACTTTGCCTGCATGTAATTCCACATCGTATTGTCAGCGTGGTTACAGAGCTTTGCAAATTTTCAAGGGCTGATATGCATTAGCTACAGTTCATTATCCAAAGTAAACAGCTAGTTAGCATACAGCAGAGAGCTTCTACAGAGGACAAAAATAGACCAAAAAGGGAGTACATCCCCTTAAGTGGCTGTAGTTGCTAAGCTGTGTGCATCGCATGCCTGTGTTCATTCCTCCAGTACTCAGGGTTTGAGGAAACGCAGATTCTCTAGACCACTTTTATTTATACATCTGTTATCTTCAAATGGCTCTGGCCAGATTGTGTAGCATTGGTTTTTCCCAGCCTTCACTAGCTTACGTGTAGCAGTACTGAGCAAGTGATATGCTGCTGGCAACTGCATTCTTCACTTGCCTTCAACAGTCTCAGTCTTTAATTTAATTTCCTCGGGCAGCAAGTTATGCCCACAAGGGATGATGGACTCCATTGTCAGCATCATTAACTTTGGCTGTTTCTCCTCCAGCTCTGAGAAGAGATGGTACTCTCTCTAGCACTACCACAAAGAGGCAAGCGCCCTGTTTCACAGGCACATAGAACATGTTTTTCTATGGCCACTCAGCCCCTGTCTCTGCAGGCAGCTAGGCAGGAGGATCACATACCAGAATTACTCAGCCCTACATGCTTTGTATTGCAGCCTGTTCCCTTACTGCATTATTTTTCCCCCAGCAGTGTCTCATACAAAGTGTGAGGGCAAAGTACCAGGGCTGCTCTGACCCAAGAACTCAAAATCCCTCTTGGCAGAGAAGGTGATTTAAGGTCTGGGTTTCAGACCTGTACAGCTTGGTGCCTGAATTTTCAGGTTGCCCTGGATGACCACATGCCCTGTGAAGCATATATCACATGGCACCTGAGAACTTTCTTGCCTGTAAACAAAGTATTCCTGGATCTGGTTTCTGGGCTCAGGCAAGTTCCCTTCTATAGCCTTGCTCTACCAAGTGGGACAGATTACCAGTGCACATAAACCTGGAGATGCATACTCCTCACAAAGGAAAAGGGTGATGGAACTTGGCATTTATAAGGAAAGCCAAGTATCTTAAATATACATTGACAAATGAGGACTAAAGTATGGTCATTTATTGCCAAGCCTATTTGGCAGCCTCTTTCCAGCTGAGGCTTGTTGGTTATCAGATAACTTCCTACACATGAACATACAATGAAACAACATACGATTGGCTTTGACAGTTCTTAGCTAGTCAAGTCCAGGATGGACAGCAGCAGTTCAGCATTTCCCTCTGCAGGGACTGGGTCTGTTTCCAGGTGTTCCCCATCTGAGGTGGCTTGACCCACTCTCCAGTCCTGGGGGGGCTCCGTCAGCTGTGATCCCTGGTGAAATGAACTGATTATCTGAAAGCCCCATCTGTCCCTGGAGCTCTGAAACAGTTCTAGTCCTTCCATTGGAGTTTTAAGCATTCTGTGACTCACTCCTTTGGGGGAAACAGGGACATCCGTGTGCTTTCTGATCCAGACAAGTGCAAACACCTACAGGAGATCATGTACTGAGTCTGTAGCTGCTGGGAGTGACGCTGATGAAAGTGATCTCGGCAGCGCTCCCGCTCCCTGCCTGCCAGCACTGCTGGCTTGAGATATCAGTAACGTAGCAGGGGCTGGGTAAACAGCAGAGTTGTTTCTGCTGGATGATCTTAAAGCCCTCCTCACTGTCTCCTGAAAATACTTTTCCACTCAAGGAAGTGACTGTTATGTTTATGTAAAGGGTCAGGAGTGGGAAATGACGTGAACACTTAACTGCTTTTCCTGGAGTTTTTAAGAGGAGTCATATCCACCGTCTCGGGCCTTTTTTCCCAAAGCATTCAGTGTTTTCTGGAATGCTGTTAAGGATGTGCATGCATGTGTACGTACACAGGTGCATCGGAAACCATCTTTCAAATCTTGTGTATCCACCTGCTAAAATTTTACTCATGTCTCCCTGTGACCCTGGTGTAACATTTTGATAGATTCCCCCTCACAGGGCTGTACTGAAGCTGTCCTCAGGTCTTGTTTTCCCTGCAATGGAATAAATCTGTGATTACACAGCATGCTGTAATCTTCCTGAAGTAGAAAGAAATCAAAATTCACATCTGTCATGCTTATTTTGCCCAAGCCCCAGTTTTATCTGCACCTGCTGAGTTACATTGTGCATTTAATCTTTTTTATCTGTGTATTGCTCCTTGCCCTTGAAAAAGAAATGGCCCAATGTTCTACTCTTTTTAGTTGCTGATAACTTTTTATTACTGATTCCCTTGGTCAAGGTGCGTTTTCCTAAACCAATTGCTTCTCTTTAAATTCCTTGAAGAGGAATACTAGCAGCCTGGGTCTCTGGGGTCCTGTAATCTCAATTCCCAAGTCTTGTGTGTGCACTGTCCTGCAGCATGGATGTGTTCAGACTTGGTTATAGTGACCGAGTTCCTGCATGTGGGATGTTCTCTCTTCCCTACTTCTGCAAGTGCCTGGCAACACACAATCCTGGCCCAGGACTGGAATTCGAGGATGGGGGCGGAGAGATGGGTTGGTTTGTTGGTTTGTTTTGTTAAGATTGGATTGGCACAATAATTTAAATCTTAATGCATAACAGCCAGGCTAACATACCACATGGCAGTTTTAACTGCCTAATTTCTGCTCAGTTCCCTCACCCTTCCTCAAGAAGCAGGTTAAACCACCTCATGAAAATCAGAATTAACAGTGCAGGGACTTAACATGGTTCTACAGTGGTAGGAAACTGCTGTGGCCAACCAGGGTCTGAGTGTCTGCAGCAGGGCTCTGGGACACAGCTCTCTCAAACCAGTCATCAACCTAAACAATGTGTGATGTTTGACTTTTCTGTATCATCTGACACTAATAGATGACACAATCTCCATTCTTCTGAGAATAAAGCTAAAGTAATATTTTATTGCCCTTTAAAGACTTACTTGTATTATATAAGAAAAAACGTACAGTGATTAACAGCTTAAATTCAACCTTTCTCTCTCCCTTTTTTTTTTTCAGCAACCCTGTTATCTGCTTGGTTTCTTCCATGTATAAGCAGGAAAAGTGGCTCACAACATGCACAGGGAAAGGAGGGTTAACTTACAAAATGTTGTTTACACAGATCAGAGCATAATATATAGACTTCTTATAAACAAAGACTTGCATGTATGATCAAATGCAGTATCAGCAGCCCTTCAGTAGAAGTATTTTAAACCTTAATCTGTGGACAATGAAATGTCAAATGAAGGTAAATACTTGTTACATGAAAAAAACGTTCACCCAGAATATAAAACTAGAATTAGAGCAGGAGTTCCTGATAAGAAAAAGACCCCCCATCTTAGCTGTGGAGGTGAAGGGATGGCAGAGTAACACGTTTGTTGCTATGTTTAGTTTGGTCTCTAAAATAGAAAAAAAAAAAAAGGTGAATTTTATATTAGGGTGCAGTGTCAGTTCAACTTGTTAATGCCACTTAGTTCACGTATTGCATGCGTCCCTACAGAATGAAAGAATCTGAGTATAGAACTTGTTTTTATTATCTACAGTTGTGATACAAAATGGCTGCTGCAGAAATCACTTCCCCAGGTAAGAGCACGAGCACTCAACAATACATCAGTAACAATGAAGTAAGGAATTTGAGAATTACTTCTTCACCTCAAATTCAAGGTTTATTTCATAGTTTCACTGATGGAATTTTTCATTTTCTTCCATGATCAGTCACGACTCTCATCCTTCTGGTATGTGTACAGCAGTGTTGGGCACCAGCCTCAGCATGGACAACCACAAACCAAAGGAACATTTTACATAAGACAATTTGCTTTTATAGTGATCACGCACTGATGTGAACATAGACTAAAAATAACAAATCTTGCTTTAATAAGGATTTTTTACAGTAGGAGTAGATATAAAAGTTTTTCAAATTATTTTCACAGGTATCACTGAACATTTCATAGCTGTCTGTTACAGAAGCACCGAAAAGTGCTTTGAGTCTTTCATTTATTATACATAGTTAAAATATATTACACTTCTGAAGGTATCTTAAATCACTGAACAGTTTTGCTAGCATCTTAATGAGCCAAATGGGAGTAAAAGGCAGTCCACATTCATGATGTGAATATACAGTAAGGTGTTTGACATCCTATTAACTCATTGCTCATGTTCTCAAAATAACCATGGTGATGAGACCTGAAAGACAAGAATTAAGAACTAAATTTCTAAATAAGAACTTTCATTTCACTGAATAAAACATTTAAAATGCAGTTTACCCTGTCACAGGCCAAAGTGCATAAATAAAAGAAGAAAGAATTTATATATACATGTCACTTAAATATTAGAAGTATTGCTCTAAATTGATGTAGTCAAAAACTGTTTAAAAAACCCAGACCAACTCAGCCTAGAATGCAGTGTATGTAGGAACTAAATGTCAGGGAAGCTAGAAATGCTCCAAACAGTTACTGATCTCGCTCTGGGAAAATGAGATTTTGGCCTAGGTAAGTGTAACACTGTCATGCAAGCCCCTGGTTTTCATGGGGGGGCTCGTTCTGGACAGCATACTTCAAATGCTGCATCATCAGTAAGGCTCATCAGCTGCAGGCTCAAAGTCATTTCTGTTTCTGCTCTGTGCAGAATAACATCTTTGTCTAACACTAGTCTTTAATCAGTTAAGCTTCCTTGTCAGTCTGCATAAGGAGCCTTCTACAGGTTCTCTGTTGTGACCTTTAAAGAGGGAGGGAAAAAAAACCCAACCAGCTCTGATAGAGGTTATAAGCAATTAAAAACAGATGAAAGCAGGAAATGTGGGGCTAATAAACCTACTCAGGACACACTCAAAAGTTCACTTCAATTGTGTGCTGCTGCAGGAAAAAGTACAAGTCTGTAAGTTCACAGCTGTGAGTTACTGCACAAGGCAAAGAGGCGTATGGAAAAACATGAGGGCTCCTTGAATTCTAACCACATGTAACGTCAGAATAGTAATTTATCAGTTCTTAGGCAATCTTGTTTTCTTGCAGGCTCAGATGATGTTAATGTAACAGTCTTTCACTGCAGAGCTCAGCTAAAGCCCACAGATCTCACCACGGATAAAGAAATTCCTGAGACTGTTACTATCCTGCCATACATCCTGATTTAACTGATTTACTTTATAAAGATTGTGAGGATGGCAGCATGACAGAACAGAGCTGTGCTGCTGCTGCCTTCCGTTAGACGAGTCACTGAGGCACTGAAGAGGAATTACAGCCCAGCCATTTCTGAAGGTCTGTATTAGCTTAGGCAATGAGTACTACCAAAACTGCTGTGGGCCTTGGCCTGGGTAGCCTAAATCTTCTCAGAGCAATAACAAAGGCTTCTGGAAGGTGCTACAGGGCAGCCTATGCCACTTCTACAGGAACTTTCAGGCAATAAAGGGTTTAAGTCATTTCTGTGAAGCCAATGCTTCTCAAATGTCACACAGCCCAGCTGGTGTGGTATTAACCTCCCTTGCTACACAACCCATTTTTCTTCATCATGTCAGAAAGTGGTTTCACCTTTTTCAGGAGCAACCAACTGTCTACACAAGCAGAACAATCTTTTCATGAACACTAAAAACAGTGTTATCAAAGGAATCAAAACCTGTAAGAACTTCATAGTGAGTCTAGAAACAGGTAAAGTTGATGCAAATGTGTAAGTCAAATGGTCCATGCTGGCACCAGCAGAAACTGGAGTAAGTTTCAAAACCAGAGATTCCCGACCTGAAAATACATCA